TTTCCTTCCCCAGGGCACCCCAGGCCCACCTGTAGGATGACTTGGCTTATCCTTTGACCTTTTGCTGAGGTGAGCCTGGCCTCTAGTCTCTGGGCTTGGCTCACCACCCTGTGCTGCTCAGTGTAGGGGTGGGGACCAGGCCACCCTGTGAGCATTATGGACATCAGACATCACTACCTGAAGTCCGTGGAAGTAACTCCCTCAGCTGCCCACCGAAATCTGCCCTGTTTCTCCACGGCCGCCACCGGGAGGTCATTGGTTTTACACTATACAATGTGGAAACACCTGCAAGGTTCCTTTTGTCAGTGCCTTGAGCTCCTTTTGAGAAAAGTGTTAGGTCACTGGTGTGCCTGAAACCAAGTCCGTGGGGTCCTGGCAGAGGGCATAGCGGCTCCCCCCTTCTCTCAGTGCTCTCAGCGGCTCTTCAGGGGAGGCTGACAGCCGCCCCCAGTGCCCCAGAGTGACCAGCCGGGTCTGGGTCAAACAGAAATCACGGGCGGTCTACATTTTCCCATGCAGCTCTGCAGTTTTTCAAACGTCTCACACTGGAAAGTTGTCCTGATCACATTTCCATTGCAGGGCCTGCCTCATGGGGCGGGGTGGGTGTGTGAAGCCATCAGGTGCCCATTCCATGGTTCCCAGTCCTGGGTGGCATCGCCATCTGTCATTAGTGGGTATTTCTAGTAGCTGAGCCTCCGAGTGTTAGAAATGGAGACTCTGGCCCAGGGGTCACACGCCAGCTGCCATTCTTGGAGAAGGGAAGGGTTCTGAGGGGTGCTCTTCATACAGCCACGGGCCTAAAGGAAGTCCTGCCTGTTGGCGCCCACGGAGCCCCTAGGCCAAGAGAAGCATGCCGCTAGGCTTCGGCTAGAGTTCTCCCTGTGGCAGGGCTGGTGCTAGGCTTGGGCTCTCCGTGGCCCCTTGGAGATGGCAGAGAATTGAGTCATTTGTCAGAAAGGGGGTCTTGGGAATTAAGGATTTGGGGAGACCATGTGGCTTATCCGATAATTTTAGAAGTACAGAGCCTGGTCACTGGCTGCCTGGTGCCTGGTCCAGCGGTCACAGTGCTGGACTTGGATTCCTGGTCCCCTGTGTCCTGGTTCTGTGCACTCTACCACAACACAGTGTTTGCTTTTGAGCATGGTTTGTTAAGAATGCGGTCCATGATTTGTCATTTGCAAAGCTACTTTGAGAAGTAGCAGAGAGGTGAGGTCATGAAAGAATTCTCTTTCCTTTATGACATAATTACACACCACAGTCATCAGGGTGTTTGACCCTTGACCCAGCGAGGGAGGTGTAGCCCATCACACTCCCATTTCCTGGACTGGGGGACTGAGGCTAAGTAACTACATTACATGGCAAGAGTGAAGCTGAAATGGCAGAACTAGGTCTTCTGACCCTGGTGCTTGCTTTACGGGATCTTTAAAAATGACTGCACTTCAACACCTGTGTAGGCTGCTCTTCCGGAAACTAAATGGTCAGGCACGTTGGTAAAGAAAATTGGAATTCCTTATGTGTGTTTTCAGTAGTGGGTTTCTGCTTTTAGACAAATGAAGAACAGGTAATGTTATAGGAGGTGTCGGAAACCTGTTCCTGTGACTGCTGGGTCCTGGGAGGAGCTGCCCAGGTGGCTCTTTGTGGGAAGATCTGCCTTGTGTGAAGGTGGCATCGTCCAGCATGGGAGCAGGGTGCTTTCTACCTGGTCAGCCCCTCATAGTCCGCTCCACGTCTCTACCTGACCATAGGCTAATTGACACGCCCTCGGGGCTCTTCTACCCCTGGAAGGGAGAGAGGAGAGTGCATGGACAGTTTACCTGCTTTATTGTCTACAAGTCAAGTCTAAAATACTGGGTTTTCCTTGAAATTTTTTAAGCATGTACATGCAGTTTTTTAAAGCCCACTTTTTGGATAGTGATATACAGTTTGATTCTCTACCCAACAAGAAGTCATTGAAATTTGGATGCCCCCATTCAGTTAGTGAAGAGGACATTTCTTTCTTTTTTTGGCTGAATCTTACTGTTTTTCTGGTGTGTGTAAAGGATTTTTTCCCCTCTTCATTCTCTCGCCTGCATGAGTAGTAGTTATAAGCTCTGTTATTGCTAGCTTGGCTGATGCAGAGTCATAATAGTCCTTTCTCTGGAGGCTGAAATGACCACTGTGGGGAAGAATGTGGCAACTGTCCATATTGTCCTGACTAGACTGTTGTCTTTTGGAGAGTCAGCTCGGGCTGGTCATGTGAGCTGAGGTCTCAGCCACCCCTGACTGAGCTTCCTTGTGGTGGTCGTGGTACCCTTTTCTCCTGTAGGAAGATGGAAACGTGTCCTCACTCAGGGGCTGCACGCACAGGAAAATGAAAGCCAGCTCATCGAGGCTTGCAGAGGATTCTCAGACTTCATGTTGATGTGTGTGTCCTATAGTGTCATGTGGTCCTCACCTTGATATGCCTACAGATCATGGGAGCTTGGTAAGAGTGTTATGTTCCCTATGTGCTATCCCCAGTTACTGTGTGCCTGGGGTTTTGAATAGTGTCCCCAGGAAATTCTGGTATGTGTGGTCAGTGGACCTAGTGCTGTAGGAAGCAGGAAGGGGGCCATGTCCTCTCCCCACAGCTCTCCCTGTCACCTGCCTTGAGGAAAATGAAGTGTATGCGGAGCATAAGAGGCTGCCAGACAGATAGTTTGAACTGCTATCTGGGCTGAAGTTTCAGTTCAATTCATTCAGCAGTATTTATTGATTATGACTGGATTGTTACAGTCAATATTGACTGACCTGTGACTGTTAGGTTTTGGAGGCAGGGAGAGACGATTATTGCTGTTCCCTCATCACTGGTCTTGATCCTTGATCCCTGAAAAGCTACTGTCAAAATGTCTTGTTGGGTCGGGTGCACATCTTCGCAGCACACAACCAGCCTTTTGCCCTGGCGCCATAGCAGCAGAGAGACACGTGGGCTCTGCTCAGGGCCCATCGCGCTGCTCTGAGCCAGAAAAGCCTCTTTTTTCTCCTGTTATGGGCACTCTCGGTTTAGCAGGAATTTCCCCAGCCAGCTCTGGAAGCACATTTTTTAAATGGAATTCTTCTTGTCTCAAGGCTAGGGGCCTCACTCTAGCCTTGGAATTTTTTGTTTGTTTGTTTAGTTTTCTTCTGCTTGCTGAGTTTTAGTCTATTTTCAGGCTCCACTGTCTTTTGAATTCTTGTATTTTCAATGCCAGAATTTTTCTTCCCCAGCTTGACCCTGCAAACGTGGTGATTCAGCTGTTCCTTGATGGGCATCATCATAAGCCACTCTCAAAAAGAGCCATGATCCCAGCTCTGCCTGGGGTGCCTGGGCCATGGGTAGGTGTGTCAGGAGAGCCTGGCTGCTCCCCACACTTATGCAGCGGCCCGCTGGAGGCTCTGGAGGCAGTCAGTGCTCCGTTTGTGTTTGTTGTTTGGCTGTTGCCCGCTTTCCTCCTCCCTGGGTGCTTTGCACAGAGCTCAGGGGTGCGGGTGATAGAAACCTGCATTGCTGCTGGTTACAAGTGGGCTTGTGCAGCTGAGAGGTCCAAGGAGAGGTTCAAAGGATGGTCTGTCTTGCTCCTTCTGGCTGCTTGCTTGCTTCTGTGTCATCTTCAGACTTAGGTAAAGCCTGGCCCTGCTGGCTTCCTAGTAGTTTCAGAGCCCATCCAGAGAGGTAGGTCTGCAGGAGGTCCAGTCTGGATGGTCAGTCGGCCCCTGATCTAGCCACTGTGGCTGGGGGCTGGTGGTGCTCCGACTGATGGGGTCTGAGCGGGCCTGCTCCTGGTCACTTCCCCTCTGGAAGACCAAGGCTCTTTAGAAGACAAGGCAAATGGATGTTGCACAGGCAGAAACAACAGATTCCATTTCTAGTAAAGATTCTTTGGCTTCAAGAACCTTCCCTAGTCCTGGGGACTAACTGTAGAAAGGTCAGTGTCCCAAAGTGAATAGTCTGTGGCTTTTGAGATGGAGTCTCCAGAGCTCCCCAGGGCCTTTTGGAAGACCTGGCAGAAATGTGCACTGCCCACTGGCAGCTCCCCGCACCGCTAAGAGGTTCCGTTTCTTTGCCTTTGGTTGGATTTTATCAAGTCATTATGGTTACCAGTAGTCATTTCATGTGTATCAGTCATTTTGCTGCCTCCACTCAAAAAAATCTAAAGTTGTAACAATTGTGTAAACTCACTTGCTTCATTCACCACTATGGTAAAATCCTTCTAGTAATTCCTGATAATAGTGTTAATGAAAAAACATTCAAACCTGTGAAGAATTTTTGTGAGTTTATTTGAGCCAAACTGTCGACAATTGCTGAGAAGCAGAATTGGGAGAGTGCTCTGGAGAATGGCAGTTTTTCACCTTGTTTTATACATTGCAATCCAAAGAGGAGACGTAAGTGGGTCACATGAAATCCACTGGTGACAGATTAGGGAGGCGGGAGAAAGCAAAGCGGAGAGTGGATAAAAAGTAAAATGACAGACACATGCTTCTTTTACTTAGGTGGTGCAGGATAGTTAACAGTCAACAATTAACACGATAACAATAACAATGAAGGGATTTATGGTCTCTGTTCTGGTGCCCAGGTACATTTGGTTGTCTCCCAACGGAGAGGGGCGGGAGTTACAAGTTACTCTGACATTTCATAGGTATGTTATCGTAAATGCAACAAGACAATAGGCTCGGTTATGGTAAAAATTGACCTTGTCAGGGAAAATACAGGCCTAGAACATGACAACCCACCATAACTGCTTTTAGTTGAAGTTTTAATTTCAGACATCCTTTGTGGTTACTTTAGGTCTTTAAGTTTGCAAGACCGCCACGCAGGCCTTCCCCGAGCTTGTCAGGTCAGCATGTCCACAATAGAAATATTTCTAAAGGCATTTCTAGTTCCTGATGTCCTAGTGGCATTTGTTCCTTCCGTTGTCAGCATATAATTTATGAAAATGAGTCCTGCCACTTTTTTCGTTTAGTCTCTATCTTACAAAGTTTATTTTCCCGTCTTGTTTTGCCAGTGTTCCCACCACTACCCTCCCCATATCTGTCTTGGAGGTCCTAATAAATGGCTGCATGTTTGTGAACTTATCATATTCCCGCACGCTTGAGTGAAGAGCCCAGAAGGTAACAAATTACCCCGTTTAGTTACTTTTGCATGTACATTAGTTCAGGCTCAGCAAGTCGGAGAAAAGAAAACTGGCAAATTGAGAAGGCAAGTTTGGAAAGTGGAGGAAACATTCATTCAAAAGCGAGTGAGAATAAAACACAATTCAGATTCTGGAACTAACACCGTGTGTGTACTTGAGGATGGTGTGTGTTTGGGGCTGGCTTTTGGGAGAAGATGCCTGGCAGATGTTTTTGGGGAGGGGGAGGTGTTTATTACTGCCCAATCTGAGGTTGAGGGGGCGATGTTTTAAAAATGGAAAAACCGAGGTCTGAGTAGGACAAGTGCGACAGAGCCACAGAACAGGGGTCCAGTCTTCAGCCTGGAGGAGCCTAGGAGAGCTGAGCCAGGCTGGCGCTGCTGTGGTCCCCCAGCCTACTCACGTGTCACAGGTTCTTACGGATGGGATTGGAAGGCTTTTTGTTGTGTGTGTGTGTGTGTGTGTTTTTAATCCTCACCTGAGGATATTATTAAATTGATTTTTAGAGAGAGAGAAAGAGTGAGAAAGACATGGATGTGAGAGAGAAAAAGTGATTGGTTACCTTCTGTATACGCCCTGTCTGGGGATCGTACCCGCCACCTAGGCATGTGACCTGACCTGGAATCAAACCCACAACTTTTTTGGTGTACAGGATGACACCCTGATCAACTAAGCCACCCCCGGCCAGGGCGGAATTGGAAGTTTTGATCTGCAAAGTCTTGGGTGAGGCGTGTAACCCATTTGGCCATGAAAATAGTTTCTCAAAGGTGCCTTTGGGTGTTTTATCCTACCAGGAATTTCTTTTTTTTAATGTGTTTTTATTGATTTCAGAGAGGAAAGGAGAGGGAGAGAGAGATAGAAACATCAATGATGAGAATCATTGATCGGCTGCCTCCTGCCCGCCCCCTACGGGGGATCGAGCCCACAAGCTGGGCATGTGCCCTGACCGGGAATCGAACCCTGACCTCCTAGTTCATAGGTTAAATACAAACCACTGAGCAATGCCAGGCCTATCGGGAATTTCCTATCTCCAGATCTCAGCCTTCCCACCATTTGTTAGTCCTGAAAGTGGCTCTTGTCCGTAGCTTTAAGAAAATGGCAGGCAGCCATTCATATTACATAAATTTTATATATATATTTTTTAATATAACAAGCATTTTATTAGCTTTTTCCTTCTTGAAGCCTATTTCAGAGACTGTTAACAGATGTCTCTGCAGGTGGAGCCTGTGAGGGTCGCCCCTGCCTTGGTCTGCAGCCCATTTCTCTTCCCAGCCTGCGTCTGTCAGCAGGAGCACCCTGACCCTTGCTCACAGGCACTCTGCCCTCTCTTTGCTCCCAAAGGCCTGGGAGACTCTGTGGGTGCCCTGGCTGCGCCTCATGGCCTCTCCCTAGTCTTTCTGGGAGGACACTAGGTCCAGCTGTTCTGGTCCACCCCCCAAAGTGGCAGGACTAGAGAAGGGCAGCAGAGCCCAGCGTACCATGTCTCCCTCAGGAAATTGTGGTGTTTTGTGTGTTTTTCATTATATTGTCAACCGTTTGGGGCCTTTTTGCCAGCATGGTTTGTTGTCATGCTTAACTGAAGCTGCTTTCATACCTGGAGGAAGGTGGTCCCAGCTCTACCTGCTTCTCCTTGAGAAGTGGGACAGTCTGACCTGCTGTGCGCCAGATGGAATAACAAAGGAAGTGCCATGTTCCTGGCACATCGCACAGCCCCTGGGTATTAAGTACCTCCGAACGTTACTGCTGATTTTGACGTGTGTGCTTTAATCTGGGAGATGCTTATTAAAAATCAGTCTTTTTTTCTTTTCGAGGCCCACCCCATCTCTGCCAGCACTGACTGGTGCTGTGAATGAAAACAATTAAAATCAAGTGTGCGGTCACTGTGAGAGTTTCTATGCCGGGCCCTTTGGCAGGCCTGAGCGGATTCGGGAGAGCCGCCAGGCAGTGGAGAGGCACAATATCCCTGCCTTCAGCTGGAGCTCCGTTCTGTGGAGGCAGAACTCTTGTCATATTGGAGCGTAGGGAGAGGTCGCATTGGCCAGAGCAGATGTACTGATTGTCACCAGGGTGAGATTTTACGAGCTGTCTTTCTTATTTGCATTGCAGCATGTGATGAGTGCTGGCTGGTTGCATTTCCTCTGGCTTTCCCCCACCAAACGTCTTTTGTTGACTTATTCTTTCGGCTGCCCATTGCCTGTCTGAGGCGTTTGATAAAGGTGGGAGTCCATTGTTTGTCTGGCAGAAGCCTCGCAGCAGCTTGATAGAGAGTGAGGGCACGTGGAGGGGAGAAGGGAGGACAGCTAGCCTGGTGGTGGCATTAGTCAGCTCTAGGCTTCAGGTTCCTTATCTGTGCGAGGGGAAGAACAATCTTTACCCAGAAGGTTTTCATGAGTATTAAGTGAGACAGCCTGGCCGGAGAGGCGCAGCAGGCATAGGTTGGGGATGGGGCAGTGGGTGGTGTGGGACGGGGCAGTGGGTGGTTGGGGATGGGGCAGTGGGTGGTGTGGGACGGGGCAGTGGGTGGTTGGGGATGGGGCAGTGGGTGGTGGGCAGCTTTGTCTGGCAGTCCCTGGAGTCTCCTGGACTTTTCCTCATTTTATAAATGAGGAATAACCTACGTCACTACTTCCTGTTTATCCCCTCAGGTCTCCTCAGCTTTGAAGACCATACTGAGGGTAATTTCTGGCAAAAGTCCTTCCCGTGCCTGCCTTTGTGGCCTTAACAGCCAGCTGAGGTGGTGGTTCTGGCTTTGCATCTTCAGATCCCCTCTGCTCCCTCCCCTGGCAGACTGTGGCCTTCCTGAGGAAAGGGACATTGTTTTCAGTCTGTTTCATAAATGTATTCAACAGGGTTAAATGATGTCAGGCACAGTACTAGGTGCTGGGTATTCATCGGTGAAAAGACTAATGGGTCACCAACCTTGTGGACCAGCGCCCATTGTCGGAGACGGATCTCTCTCTAGCTCAGTCAATGTTTCTTTTCTGGAGAGGGAATAGACGTGTCTGTGGCATTGGGCTGGGTGAGCCAGTTCATGCAGAACCCCGAGCCTCAGTTTTCTCCTCTGGAAATGAGGGGGTTGGGCTAGAACCAGATTATTTCTGAGCTGCATTTACAGCTCGGGCCAGATGCTGGAGACTCGAAAGCCCAGCCATGCTCCAGAAGAGTAGTTGGGAGCCTTTATGAAGAGTCAGGAGGAAAGGGTTGCTCACGGAGAAATCCCTGGGCAGTTTAAGCATGTGGACCAAAGCCAAATGTTAAAGGTGTAGAGAGGCATTTTGCGTATAAGATATACTGAGATGAGAGGCTTTTTATTCCCAAAGATAATTTACAATCAACCTTTCCCAACATTGCTTCTGTAGTTGGCTTTTGCCGTGCAATGAAGACAACCCATAGAAGAGCCATTTCAATGGTAGCATTTTGAAAATAGAAAATAATCATAAAGTTTACTTCCTTTCTTCCAAAGGCTTAACCTTTATAGCCTGTCATACTGACCTTTCCGTTTTGAGAGAGAGATGGGACCTCTTTCATCCTCGGGAGGCTGGAGTGTGCCCAGTGTTGCCCCGACATGCCCCAGTACCTGCTGTGGACAGTAGCTGCCCCAAAGCTGCCTGCTGTCGCGGCGCTCCTGCACAGTGAGTGTCTTTCTTTCTTTCTCTAGGTCATGGCTTCCAGCTTCTCAGAGCTGAGTCTCCAGCAGAGGAAACAGAAATGACTGTCGGGGGTCTTGCTCCAGGTCTGTTACGAAGACTGAGCCTTCGCACGGTGCGAGCTTGCTCAGGACAGGAGAGTCTCTCTCTTTGAAGGGCTTTACGTTCGTTACAAAGAAAATAAAGATGACGACTTCGTCAATCAGACGGCAAATGAAAAACATTGTGAACAATTACTCAGAAGCCGAAATAAAAGTGCGGGAAGCCACCTCCAATGACCCCTGGGGCCCGTCCAGCTCCCTGATGACCGAGATCGCGGACCTGACCTACAATGTGGTGGCCTTCTCAGAGATCATGAGCATGGTGTGGAAGCGGCTCAATGACCACGGCAAGAACTGGCGGCACGTGTACAAGGCCCTGACGCTGCTGGACTACCTCATCAAGACGGGCTCTGAGCGGGTGGCCCAGCAGTGCCGAGAGAACATCTTTGCCATCCAGACCCTGAAGGACTTCCAGTACATTGACCGCGACGGCAAGGACCAGGGCATCAACGTGCGTGAGAAGTCGAAGCAGCTGGTGGCCCTCCTCAAGGACGAGGAGCGGCTGAAGGCTGAGAGGGTCCAGGCCCTCAAAACCAAAGAGCGCATGGCCCAGGTTGCCACCGGTATGAGCAGCAACCAGATCACCTTTGGTCGCGGCTCCAGCCAGCCCAACCTCTCTACCACCTACTCGGAGCAGGAGTATGGCAAGGCTGGGGGATCACCAGCCTCCTATCATGGCTGTGAGTAGTGGAGTGTGCCTCACCCTTTGCCAGTAGCGCTGGGCAGCAGGTGGGAGGGGCCCTTGGGCTAAGCGAGATGGTGCGTCATCTCAGCTTCTGGCCGCCTAGACAGCAGTATTCCTTCGTCTGCACTGAGTTACTGTGACAAAGGGGCTTTCGGCCTATGACTGCTTTGGCTCCAGTGTCTCAAGAGCCTCTGCTTCTGAGTCTGCTTCTGTACATCTAGGCAGGACTGCCTTCGGGAGAAGGGGAGGAGGCAGGCCTCCTGTTTCCTCCTGGGAAGGGCCGCAGTGAAGGGCTGCCTGCTGCACAGACAGTGGGGAGTTGACTGTACTTGGTAGCTGGGAGGAAACAAGTGCTTTTTCTGGATAATCTTGTTTCTTTAATCTCATATTGTTTTTCTAATGATTGGGCTACAGGTCTCCTGACCGGCTCAGTGTACTTTCTACTTTGGCATCAGAGGGCACGAGATGGTATGTTTCTGTGTCACTGAAACAAGGCCTCCGCAGGTGTTCCTGTGGGCAAGGGCTCCTTTCCCACCTGCAGATGAGAGTTCATGGTGCTTTGTTGGCATGGCCAGGTCTGTGCTGGGGGGCTCCGTCCTCGTTTTGCATGTCGGATCACCCGTGGCCCAGTGTTCAGAGGAGGTGGCAGGGAACAGAAGTGGAGGTCAGGCCTGATGGAAGCTGGCCTCTGTGAACAGTGTGGCATCCTGGCTGCTCACTGAAAGTGGTCCCAGGAATCGCTCCTTGGCCTTCACAGTGCGGTGTAGAGACAGGTGGCCCAGTCAGTGGCCTGGGGGTGGGCTGCAGTGGAGGATGCAAAAATAAAAGTATAGGTCCCCATACTCTTTCTTTCTGGAATCAGTAACACTTAGGTCAGCATTTTTTTTAAAGGAAGTTGTTTGTATTTTGACAAACCCGCCAACCCTTGCTTAATCAGTGGTCTGCTAACATTTCCTGCTTTTGCAGGTTTCAATTTGACATTGCACAGCCACCAGTAGCATTTTGAGACATGTGTCAAATAGGAAATTTGCATAGTAAAGTCAAACGCCCTGCCTCTAGAAATTGTAAATTATTGCCAAGCTGGGAGAGGTTAGCGTTTTCTTGTCCCGTCAGTTCCTCACTTAGTTTGAACTCTGTTTAAGCAAAGGTTGTGACCTTCATCAAAGCCTGCATCTTGGAAAAAATATATCCTGCATCTCCAGAGGTCTCCTTCCAGGCTAGGGTGCCCAGAAAATAAGACTGCCCTTCAGGAGTGAAGTTGTTTGTTTCTCTCAAGTTACCTCTCTCCATCCCCCAGAAAGGCCTGCAATGGGTTGAACTGGTCTCTAGTCCCGTTGGCTTCCTCTTGGGAAGTGGCTGTAGTTGTGCTGTGTGGCCACAGGGAGCTGCTCCTCTCTCTACCTGCCCTTTGCAGTCCTTGTTCTCAAGAAGCCAGAGGCTACAAAGCGAGGGGCTGGAATAGTGCTGTGTGTAGGATGCTCCAGTGGCAGGGGAGAGGTCATGGAGGGGGCAGGTGGGTGCCTGGGCGGGGCCTCTCATCACGGGTCCTGCCGGCCTTACACTGGGCTGCCTGCTGCTGCCACGTCCCAGCTCGACGGTTTCTGGTTCCCTCAGACCTTGAGCTTGAGCAGCATGTTCAGGGTCAGAATGTGGTGGGTCGGCAGGCTGTTCACTGCCTCTGAGAACGCCAGGCAGGCATTGGCCTCCGCTGGAACCTCTGCCATTCCCTCTCCCTCTAATGGCCTGTCTTTTTCTGTGTATGTGTGTGTATGTCCCTGCCCAACAGCGCCCGAGACCTCGCTGTGCCCCCAGCACCGCACGGGGGTCCCGCTGGGTCAGAGCGAGGAGCTGCAGCCGCTGAGCCAGCATCACCCCTTCCTGTCGCACCTGGGGCCGGCCTCCCACCCAAATGGTGACTGGTCCCAGCCCTGCCTCACTTGTGACCGCGCAGGCCGAGGTGGGACGGCAGTTTGGTTTTCTCCTTCCTAGAAATGCTGGGCAGCTTGCTGGGGGGTGCGTGTCATGTCAGTACAGCCAACTCTCTCCCTGTGTCCTCTGGACCTCGTGGTCCAGCCTCCAGAAGACCCAGGGCCCTTTCTTCCTCTCCCCCAGGAGCTCAAGTCCTGGTCATGCTCCCCTCATGCTGCCTCATGTCACTTCTAGAAGTTCCGCCCAAGGCTTAAGAGGGGAGCTGCTGTTTGGGTCAGGCACGGGGTGGCTGTCCATGCTCTCCTGTGTCCTGTGCCCTGAAAAACATGGAGGGGCTTTCCTGTCTGCAGACCCAGGTGCCGTGGAGGACCAGACCACGTGGCCTGTTGAGCCAGAAAGGTGTGGTTAAGTCTCCCAATGCGGCAAACCGAGGGCCTCAGCGGATGGTCGCTGGAAGCCATCGTCCTTGATGCAGTGATACGAGCCTTGCTGAGGACAAAATGGGATTGTTTTTGCTTCTCAGTTCACTGCTGTTCTTCCTAAAATCCCCATTACAGTGGTGAACAGAGAGTTAGCTGTACTGTCGGTTCTAGGTCACAGTGTTTGAAGATACCTAATTCAATGGGTAATTAAAAATGGGGCTTCTCTTTTGACTAATTAATAATGTATCCTGGTCAGAGACAACAACTGTTGCAGGTTCAACCGAAAACAGATTTCACTGTTGCCTACAGGAAAATGCTCTCAATCTACCTGCCCTTGGTCCCCAGTGGGGCCCTGCCACAGAGAAGAAAGCTTTATTAGAAGGGTGCCAACAAAGAGCCTCTGTGAGCCTCCAGGAAGGTGTGGCCAGCCTGTATTCAGGCTGGAGACAGGGACTGTTTATTCCTGCCTCATTTATACTGCAGCGTTTGGATGTGGGCATTTGTGTGGTCCCTGTATTTAGCTCTGGGACATTTTCCTTTGTGCCCCCATCTTCCTCAGACAGTTTACAGAGGACCCTGTAAGGAGGGCCAGCGCTGCACGGTGTTCCCAAGGAGCTCCAAGTGTGCTGAGCTACCGTCTGCCTCCCACCAGACCTTGGGGGCTGTTCCCAGCAGGCCCCGTGCGCCCAGAACTCCAGGGTCTCCCTTTTTGTGTTTCCCAGGTTCTACCCATTTAGTAACTGGCAGGGTCTATGGTGAGTCTCTGGTTAGCTTTGTATTCACTGGCCCTCCAGCTCTTCTGTTGGCAGGCTGCCCCTCCTGGGACCTGGCATTAAAATCAGGCTGACACGCCCCTTCCACTTCCTCCCACTCTGCCAGGACCAGACACCCTGCTCCACCAGGCCATCTGCCCCTCTGCCTCTTTGCCCTGCAGTTCCTGCCGCGGGGGCCTCCCCGCATATCTCGCAGGGTGCTCAGGGCATGCTGCCTAGGTAGATTTCTCTTCTCCTTCAGCTCTGGTAGGAATTAAGGTTAAAAATGAGTTTTATTTATTTTTTTGAGGATTTCTCCCACCCTAGATGAGTTTTGGGCGAACAAGTGTTACATGATGTCATGTGTCATGCTTCACCATGTGTGCATCCCTCTCTGCACTTCACACGCTCCAGGACAGGGCTGTGGGGGCAGGGCCCTGTCCCGTGACTCCTGTCTCTTCTTTCTTAGCACCTGGCGAAGTGTTGAGTGGAAGGTAAATGCTAGCATCTGCATTTTGGCAGACTTGCTTTGGAACCCAGCAGTGGAGAAGTCAGACTGAAAACCAGCATTTCATGGGCTCATGAAGTGCAGGCTGGGATTCAGGGGGACATTTGTGAGAGCACACTTGGGACCCAGACCCCTCAGGGGAGGCCCGGTAGGCACGGTGCAGACCAGGGCGGATGCAGGGAAGGCAGTTGCAAGAAGACCCCTTTGTAGGGAGGCTCTGGCATGGTGGCCGCTGTTCGCACCCCCAGTAATCGTGGCCATTTGAGGAGAGCTTCCTTTTCCTACCATACCCATGTCCCCTCCCTGTGCGTCCTCCCTCCCTCTCCTCCCACAGACATCTATAGGCCTCATCTCAGAAACCCCTCCAGTGCTGTCTGTCCTTCATCTCTAGTTCCATGTCCTCAGTTCCCTGCCAGCTTTCTGGTTGGCTTCTTCCCCATTCTTATCCACCCCCACCCCCCACCACCACCACTTTATACATCAGGTTCTGATCTCTGGTCTCAGAAAGCTCCTCTGGATCCCAGGGGTCCCCAGAGGGCCCCACTCAGAGCCTTTGGCATGGCGGACAATCCCTCCCTGGTGGTCCTTCGTTGCCCCTGCCAGCTTGAGTCTGCCGAGGTCTGCCTTGGGCACCACTCTGGGTGAAGCCTGCCCCAGCTGCACTCCAGCTCCCACGTTTCCTTGTTCATTCAGCAACTATGTGTTCAGTTCCCACTGTGTGCCAAGCACTGTGCTAAGCACAAGCAGAGGCCCTGCCACTACTAATGGGAAGAGAGACAATAAACCGAACACATTGTTCAGCCTGTTACATGCTGAGTGCTCTGTAAAACAGCAGACAAAACCCAAAGCAGCCCAGCCTTGGCTGAAGAACAGGGAAGGTGGTCTGGAGGGTGTCAGAACAAGCCTCTTTGAGAAAGTGATGCTGGAGCAAGGCTTGAAGGAAGAGGAGGAACGAGCTGTTGAACATCTGGGAGAGCGCTCCAGGCAGATGGCGGGAGCCGCAGTGCAAAGGCCCTGAGGTGGGAGTCTGCTCAGGGTGTTTGTGGAGCAGGAAGGGGAACAGGAAGGCGTCCAGTGTGGCTGGAGCTGGTGAGGGAGAGGGGTGGGTGAGGTCAGGGTGGGAATACAGCAGAGGCGGGCGTGGAGAAGGGGTAGGTCCACTTGTCAAACTGACTCAGGCAGGGAGCAGTTCTTTCCATCCCTCATCCATCTCAGACTGGTACTTTTGTATCAGTGTTTCGGTTTGTAGCAATGTCAAGTTGCTATAAAAGTCTAAGTTCTTTCTCTGCCTGTCCTTATGCTGTCCTGTGCCATATGCTAACTAGACCGGTGGTGGGCTTTTGGGTCATTGCAAACCCTTTGGCTTTTACTCAGTGAGCTGGGGAGGCATGGATGGGTTTGGAACGGAGGAGGGACTTGATCCGATTTAGGGATGAGAAGGCTCAGGAGGACCCTCCAGCTATGTATGAAGCAAGGTGGGCCCAGGAAAGCCAGTCAGGAGACCACTGCCCTCATCCAGGTGGGAGACGACGTGCCTCGATCTGATGGGGGGCTGTGGAGGTCTGGGTGTATCGTGACCGAGAGGGATAAGAGTGATAAGACTTGCTGCAGGACTGGGCCAGGGGAGAGGCGTTTGGGACAGCTCTGATGACTGTCATCCCCTGGCGAGAGGGCGGCTGTTAGCAGAGCAGGTGTGAGCAGAGGCGGGATTGCTTCTGGACATGCTGATGTGCCTAGCAGGCTCGCAGGTGGAGGAGTGGAGGAGGTCTGAGAAGTCTAGGGCGTAGGGAGCATTCCAGGCTGAAGGTGCCTCCTGCACTCTAGCCTCCCCTGCACTCACATGGTTTCATTGTTCCTGGTTGCCCCCCCCCATCGAGGCTGGCTCCTGGGCCCACCTGTGTCGGCTGCCTCACTTGGTCATGGGGGGAGTAGTCAGAACTGCTGTGCAGGTGAAGCTGTGGGGCCTTGAGGGGATCTCTCGGGTTGTGAGGGGTTGGGTTTTGCCTAAGACAATCCAGACAGGGTAGCCAGCTTGTATGGAGTGAACAGCCCACTTGTCCCCCTGCCCAGGGCTCTGTCCACCCTCCCACATTCTGCAGAGCCACTCGTGATGTTCAGCAGGCTGTGGGAAAATTGTGGATGTTCTTGGGGTGGCGGGAACCCATATCAAAGGCCCCACATGGGTTGGGAGAATTGTCCCTGTGAGTCAAGCCTGGAATGTAGAGATTGCTGCTGTCTTCTGACATGATGCTCACCCCCTCCCTGGGCCTCGGTTGGCCTCCCACAGAGGGAGGGCTCATGAGGGGAGAGAAGGCCTACTCGCCGCCTCAGCTCCCTTTGTGGGCTCCTGGGTCAGTGTCCGAGCCAGGCCCGCACTCGCCTTGCTGCAGCGTGACCTTGACCGTGACCGTGTGGCTGGGGCCTTGGGTTTCTGGGTGTCAGCATTCCCATTCTCAGGAAAGGTGAAATGGAAGGAAGGGGGAGACTAGAAGTCCTCACTGCTCTGTGATTCCTTCAGGTGGATGAGGACCAACCTGAGGCCCCAGAACCCTGTGGGCAGTGGTGTGCTTTGCATGGGGTGGGTGCTGCCACCTGTGGCCCAGTCTCACAAGCTGTCCTGATGAACCCCTGCTCGGTTGACACCTTCAGCACTCTGGCCCGTGCAGAGAAGCCGTCGTGGCGGGGGTCAGGTCTGCTCCCAGGGACGTCAGTGCGCCCTTCAGGCCAGCCTTCCTTCCATTTGGGCCGGGAGCCTGCACACAGGGCAGGTCCCCTTGCGCACCATCGGCAGTGATTCGCCACATTTGTTTCATTTATTTGCCCTGCTTCACTCTAGAAAGCATTGCAGTTGGCAATGTCAGAGGATTAAATAGATACCAGGGAAAAAATGGGCAAAAGGATAATAGGGATAAGAAAATAAGACAAGGCCAGGGTCACACAGAACTGCTGGAGATTTGACTTTGAACGTCTCAGCCACCAGCACCAAAGAGGACAGTTTCTCTTTAGTTGCTGAACAAGAGTCAGGATCCAGATGAGGTCCCGGGAGGCCAAGCACTCCCTGTGAGGAGGAGAGGCAGGCCCTGAGCCCCGGCCCTCGCGGGAGCGCTGGGCTCTCTATCCTGGCTGCATCCCATGGTCTGCACGCAGTCTCTCGCCGGGAGTGGAGGGATGGATGGCTCTCCCACTCCCTATGGAGATCAGACATTCTTAAACCCATTAAAGAGATCCTGAAAGCTGTTGTGTGCATCGTTTCCCACGTGGGTTTGAGAAGGCCCTGGAAACAGCCTGCCCCCGGGGCTCCAGGAAAGCTGGTCTCTGCAGCACGGGATGTCAGGGGTGACTGACG